TGCCCGCCCCTTACCTGAGAGGTTTTGCCGTCCATGGGCCGCTGCGGGCTGGGCTGGGCTCACAGCTCCGGCACGGCCATCCTGCGCAGCGCGGGGCCGAGCACAGCCGGGTGCCGCGGACGGGGCAGAATCTGTTTGGAGAGCGGCTCGTACGTCAGTGCCAGCGCCGAGGGAAACCAGTCCGACCTGCCGCCCGGCTCCACCGCTGCCTGTTTCCCAACTGCTCCAGGCACAGCATGCAAAACACCTGCCCCTGTGCCGGCCGGGCGCTCAGGGACGCGGGGCAGGGGCAGTGGGAGCCTGGCCGTGGCCAGAGGGATGGGAGTTTGGGAGCAGGTGAGATATCCCCTGGCCCCAGGGGACGGTGACATCCCGGTCTCCAGGAGTTCCTCGCTGCTCTCCTGGCTGCCCGCCCACCCAATTCCCCCCTTCTTCACTCTGTGCCCACCACACATTCACCCCCAACCTCTCCAGTCCAGCCAAGGGCTAAGCGTGCCAGCTGAGGATGGGAGAGGAGGGGGTGCATAGCCAGGAAAATGCCCAATCCCAGGAAAACCTCTCTGGTGTGACCCAGAAGTCAAGAATTCCCTGTTCCAAGGGAAATGAAATGCAGTTTCCCTCCAGTTTCTCTAGAGGCCTTTTCACTCCTTTACTAATGAAGTGATGCTTTTGCCAGCAGCCAGTAGCAGCCTCCTGCCTCCCCTTCAGGCACAAGCTGGGGATGACCAAGGACTCAGGAAGAAACAGATAAAATCATCCAGATTAAAAGAAAAAGGCCCAGCTCCATTGTGTGCTCTCATATCCAGACCCATGACCCTCACTGCCACACATTTCTCCTGGCATTATTCATAGAGTAGGTCCCTTATTCATCCAGCTCCCCACCCACACCTGCTCACTGGCAGGGCAGGAGACAAGCAGGGACATCCAAACTTGGAGAAAGCCTGCTGCAAAGCCCCTTCCTTTCAAGGCTGAAAAGCCTGTGCTGGATCCCACTGTCCCCTCCTATTCTGGGAATCCTGTCTTCCAAGGGGGGTTTCTGAGGCAGCCCTCACTCCACAGCACATTCCTCTGCAGTTTTCACAGGCAGAAGTGGGGTTGGGGTTTTCTTCTTTGCCTTTTGTGGTTCCTCTGTGCCTGTGCAGGCTGTGCCTGCTGGGTGCTGGGGCTGGCCAAGCACTGAGCTGCATCCCCAGACAGCCCTGAGCCAGCCAGCCATGTCCCCAGGAGCTGACACATCCTCTTCAAAAAGGGATTTTCAGAAAGCAGCTCCAGGTAACAACTCCAGGAATCATTCACTGCTTGCCGGTGTTTCTACAAAGCCACCTACAGAGAACAGCGTGTCTGGCCTGACCCCAGCAGCCTGATGGTAAATGTCAGCCAGCACAACACCTCCCAGGTGAAATCCTCACCCTTGCCTGCTGGTAACTGCTCCTGTGAGCCCTGCAGCACCCTCCTGGCCTCCCAGCTAGCACAGGGGTGATAATAGCACACACGGCCAGAGCCGGCTCCACCAGCCCAGCAGAGCCCGGCGGCTCCTCCGCGCTCCGCTCCAACCTCCAGGCACGAGGCAATTGGGAAGGGAAGAGGATCACTCTGCTCCTGTCCTGCAGCAGGGCTGTGCAGACCCAGCCCTCCGGCCCCAGTCCTGCACTGAACAGGGCAGCATCACTGCCTGACCCCTCTGTCACCCTGGGAAAACTTCCCGAGGGACACTGGCTAAGGAAGCTCAGACCCAGCTGTCCCTGGCCTGGGTTTCTCTGCAGTGTGTCCACCAGGAGGTATTTCAGGGTCAGCCACAGCTCACACTGCCCACCGTGCAGCAGCTCAGGTGCCAGCCCGAGTCCTGTGTCACTCACCATCCCAGCCTTCTGCAGAACTTTCACTTCTCCTCAGCCTGTTTCATTTTCCCTTAAATCACCAACCTCTTCTCCCAAGGCTCTGAACTGCCTCACCCACAGGACCAGCCTCAGGGTATCTTTTCCACAAAGCTCCCTCTTCCCTTGTTTTTGGTCCTGTTGCTTTTAATTGTCATTAGTTTACACAAAAGGCAAGCTGTGGCTTTGTGTGGGATGGGCTGTGCTTCATCTCAGGACTCCTAAGTTCAGTGGCTACCAGATCTGACTCAGGAGCTGATAGCAGAGTGACAGGACAGCAGCTGATCTGCCAAGGACTGGGGAATAAACCCAGGGCAGGGAGGGGATCTGCTGCTGGTGCTCTGGCCAGGCTGTGGGTTTGTGGAAACCCTTGGCCTTTAGCAGGGAGGACAAGTCAGGGAAAAGAGCACAAATCTTCCACTTACAGCATTTAAGACGATTCTTTAAGGAGGAACCTGAGGTCCTGCACCTCTGTGCCCACCAAGCCAGGCCTGACATGATGCTGTCTGAGCCTGTCCAGAGCACTTTTGGTTTCTCTTACTCTTTTCATCTGTGTCCTTTCCACTTATTCCCCGGCGGGAAATTCCTCTTCTTGCGGTGAATCACTCCCCATCACATGAGCGCCCCAGGAAAACCCTCAAGCAAGCTCTCCTGTAATCCCACCTGCCAGAAGGCAAAGCAGAGGACTCACAGCCCTCTGGGGGGTAATTCAGGTCCCAGCATCACCAGACAGGCAGGACACCACCATGGGGCCGGACCCCATAGCCACGTGAGTCATGGCCATACCTGGAGACTCCCAGGGGACAGTGACAGCCCCTCAGCCCTCCAGCCCCACTGGACTTCAGATGTGTGTACGTGTTTGCAGGACACAGAATAGCCCAGAAATTGTCACCCAGCCCCGTACACAGGGAAAGAAACAGGAGGGCACAGGCTGAGCCCAAAGGAAGGGAGAGGCAGAACCCTCTCCTGGGGCTCCAGCGCTGGATGGAACCTGGCTGGATTAAGCTGCTGGCAGGACAGGACATGGTGCTGTGCTCTGTAAAATCCCTGTGACAGGTCACTCTCAGTGCTAACACTCACCTTTGCTTTGCTTTTAACATCTCATTTCATAACAAAGCAGCAGAGGCAGAGACATTGTGTACTTGTACATGCCTTTCTCAGTACTGCACCGTTTTGCTCAGAAAAGCCCCCAAAATTCTTCCTTTAAGTCTGCTGTTGGAAATGCCCAGCCTGGGGCTGAGGCATTGACTGGGGGTGAGTGGGTGGACAGCAAAAAAAAAAAAAGTGGAAGTATCTGCACTGCGACTTTCCTCCCGCTCTGCGAACGCCTCCGAGACGTCACTGAGCCAACCCCCGGGGAAAAACAGGCGCTCGGCACCCGCCGGGGCAGAGCTCGGCAGCGCACTCACCCTGCTGCCACGGAGGATGCTGAGCTGCCATGGGCCCCTCCGCCACCGCCCTGGCGCTGTGCCTGGCCCTGCTCCTCGCCCGGCACACGCACGGTGAGTCTCTTACCCCAGCCCCCCGTGTTCACCTCCCTGCTCATCTCCACGGCTCCGGGGGGGCTGCTCACACCGGGATGGGGGAGGCAGGCAGGGAGTGGGTTGGAGCCACAGCCTGAACACCATCACTGGGTGCTCAGACCGGCACTTTGGAGCAAGACACGGCCAGGGCTCCCCACTTGTTGCTGGTTGGGGGCCCAAAGGCTCTTGAGTCCCCAGCCTCGCTTGTCCCCACCGCTGTGATCGTGGGTGAGGGGCCTCGGCCGCTGCTGGGCTCAGTGTTTGCCGGCAGACAGCGGCTGCCAGGGAAACCTCTGTGAGGGGGGTTGGTGGTGGCAGATGTTATCGAGCCGAGGCTTTGCTGCCAGGTGACAGTACCGAAATCAGGCAGAAGGTGTGAAAAAAGTCTCTTTCATGCAGGCAGCAGATGAGCAAAACAGGAAAGCAGAGTCCAAACACAGCTGCGAGAAAGCTGAGTCCAGGCAGAGCCCCCATGGCCAATGGCAGGGGGTTGGGAATGCAAACACAGCTCCTTGCTTGGGGCAGAAAAGCACGGGGAACCTCCTGGCTGGGCCGAGCTGGGCTCTGCCCAAAGACAGCGGAAGGGGAAGATGGGGATGAGCAAACGCTGAAATCTGGACAAAGAAATCCGGGAAAGTCCTTACACATTTCGGGCGGTCAGCACTAAACACGGGGTGAGGCTCCAGGAGGCCATCCCGAGGGCCCTGCCCAGCTCCTGTGGGCACCAGCGAGATGGGGGCTGTGCAGCCTCACCCAACGCCCACCGTGGGTCCCACAGGTGAGGGGCTGGCGAGCCCCCGGCGCGTGCGCTTCGCTGCCGAGACCGCGTGGCACGTGCTGCGGTGGGAGCCGGGACACGGCCACCCCAGGGACGTCTGCTACGACGTGGAGTACAAAGTGTGAGTGCGGCTGCGGGGGCACGGCGGGCTGATCCCTGCCTGCCATCCGACTCCAACAGCGGGGACAGCTGAGTCCCTGCGCTGCCCGCACGGCTCTCACCCCCGGTGCTTCTCCTGCAGCTACGGCATGAAAATCCCCTGGACGGCCATCCCAGAGTGCACCAAGTCCTCGGGGCAATCCTGCGACCTCACCTACTACACCCTGGATCCCGACAGGCGCTACTACGCCCGCGTCAGGGCCGTGTCCGGGAACCACACGTCCTCGTGGCAAAAGACCAACGCCTTCTCCCCACAGGACGGTAGGTCGGGGTCTGCATTCACCTCGGCCGGGGGCAGGAGGCTCTGAGGATGGTGAGGTCAGGGTGCCAAACCGCTTGGGAAGAACTGTGGGATGAATGAGAGCAGGGATGTTTGGGGCAAAGGGAGGATGGGTGGCACCGGCTGCGAGGGACAGCCACAGCTCAGTCCAGTGCTGCAAGCACTAACGTGCTCTTCCAACTGACTTGCTTCCAGCCAGCCTGCGCCTGTCGGGCCAGAGCCTCTCCGTGAGGGGCAACACCATCCACGTGCAGCTGCAGCTGCTCTTCCGGACTGGGAACCTCACTGTGAGGTACGAGGACATCCACCAGCACATGAGGCAGTACCGGGTGTACGCCAGGAGGACGAAGGACAACAAGACGGTGAGACGAGTCTCTGCTCCCGTGCTCTCCCCTCCTGTCCCACGCAGTGCTGGTCGAGTGGAAAAAGCACACTGTTAAAGCACAGTCTTCTGTAAAACTAAATGTTGAGGCTCCTCAGAGCCACGACACAGCAGAGAGGTTTCTCTGCATGTTTTATTGCAGCAGCTTCCCCGACTCTTGGGATTTTGGGCCTAGCTGCCATCAGCTGGGGAGGGGAGACGTTCCATCGCCGGGGGACAGGGGAGGAGGGGGGAGGAAAGAGGGGGAACCAGCCCTCCTGCAGGAGCTGGGGGCTCTCAGGTACCAGCCTGTGCTCTCCTTGTTGCAGTCTGAAGCGGTGGAGACCAGGGCAGAGTTCACCCTCAGCGACCTGCTCTGGGACACCGAGTACTGCCTGAGCGTGGAGCCCAGCGTGACCAACCGGCCCGTCCCCGCCAGGCGCACCGACGAGCAGTGTGTCACCACCGCCCAGAGAGACAGTGAGTGGGGACCCAGGGAAGGGTGGGATGCAGACCCTCCTCAGCCTCCTGGCCCTGGGAACATGGGGGTCCATGCCAGGACAGCCGCTCTGTGCACTTTGGACACTGCCTGTCCCCCTCACCTGGACATGTCCTCTCTCTTGCAGGGACTCTGGAGCTCCTCCCGAGCATCCTCAGCCCCTGCTTCATTGTGCTGTTGGGGATCCTGGGGGCTCTGCTGGTGCACACCTACATAAAGAAACCCATGAAGAAACCATCTGTCCTGGTAAGGCACCTTTTGTGGCTGGCACGGAGGTGCAGGCACAGGCTTGGGGAGCGCTGGGAGTGGACAGCAACAAGAGGGACAAAGCACGGCTCACTCCCTTCTTTCTCTCCCTCTCAGAAGTCCTTCATGAAGCAGAGCTCGCTCTGGGTGGAGCACGAGCCCCCGTCCTTGGGCAGCCTGGACACAGACCCCATCCAGCAGCTCTTCCTGTGCCAGAAGGAGCCCCAGCCGGACAGCAGCACTAGCACAGCCCAGGTGCCCCTGGAGCAGGGCTGGACGCTCCCAGTGTGGCCCAAGGACCGGCTGTGCCTGCTGGGACCTGTGGGGAGCAGAGACAACAGCGGCAGCAGCACCGACAGCGGCATCTGCCTGCACATTCCGTCCTCCTCCTCCCAACTGAGCTGCTCCGCGGGCCCCGAGCCCCAGGGCTACAGGAGGCAGCTGCCCACTGGAGACGACAGTGGTGTGGGCTTGGAGAGCACCTGCCCTGGTCCCACGTGCTCCTCCAGCAGTGGGAACAGCAGCCAGGGGGGGCCAGCCCTCTGCCCTGCCAGCAGCCAAGAGGACGTGCAGTTCCATGGGTACCTGCAGCAGTGCAGGGGCTTGGTGGAGCCAAGGCAGGACCCGGCCCAGGGAATGCCCCTCTCGGGCTGTGAAGGGCCTGGGCAGGGCACTGACCTCGTGCTGGATGTTGAGTGCTCCCAGCTGGCTGTGTCCAAAGGGTATTTGAAGCAGTCCTCTCCAGAGCCACGTCCCCGTGGCCACGCACAGGACCTTGCTCCATGGGGAGCCCCTTCCTTGGACTTTTCCAGCCAGGTGGGACCCCTAACCACCACTCTGCTGAGCTGGGGGGCTCCAAGTACTCCTTTGGTCTCCAAAGCTGGCCCTGACCTCCTGAAAGCTCCCTTCGACCTGAGCATCTTCAACACTGACATCCTGGGGACGCTGCCCCTCACCTCCAGCCTCAGCACGGACTGGCTCACGCTGCCAGTGAACCCCCTGAGCCTGCTCAGTGGGGACAGCAAGGACAGCCGCCTGTGAGCCGTCCCCAGGCTGGGGGCCAGGTACTGCCAGCCCTGCACACTGACACAACTACCTCTTCTACCCACTGCCCCTGGGGAGCAGCCACTTAATAAGCTACTGCCACCCCCTGAATGTTGACACACCAAACCAAGCGGTGCCGGACTGAGACACTCCCAGGAGCTCCCACTCAGCTACTGCTGGGGCTGCTTTGGCCCCAGGACTGTGTGGACAGCCCCCAGTGTGTCCCTCCAGCTGGTCTCTGGTGTACAGCTAACGAGAGACAGGGATGGACCGCGCTGGAGGGGCTCAAGGATACGCACCAGGATGTTTCCCAAGGATGATCCTGTCTTGTCTGCCCTCCTCAGCAGCTCAGCATGAGGCACAGGGCCACCCTTGGGGCTGGGGCCAGCTCTGTGATTCCACTTCCCCCTTCCTCTGGCCAGCACTGGGCTCCTCCAGCTGACGTCCACAGCTCTGGTGACATCCTCCGATGACATCCAGACCTTTCACAACACACAGATACTGGGAACAGAGGGCAGCTGACATCAGCCACCCTGCTGCTGGGAGCACAGGGCTCCCTCCCTGGCTGACCTCACGTGGAGGGAGCGAGGGACTTTCCTGACCCTACAGAGACCCTGTGGTATCCAGCCCCTCTGGCAGAGCCTCGGGATGCTGGCTGCCTCTGATGGGTTACGGGATACAGGACGAGCCAGGCCAGCCCTGCTCACACTATGGGCCATGTTCTGCCCCTGCTGTAAACAGACATTATTTATTCTATTTAATTTGTAAATACAAAGGATGTGGTGTTATTTATTTGGGCTGTTTGTCTGTTCATCCTCTCCTAAGGTCAAGCTGCGCTTTCCGTTCTCACATACAGACATTCCCTGGCAGCAAAGGGCAATGTGCCTTCACCTCACGTGGAGAAGGACAGGAGAACCTCAGGGCAGAGCAGAACAAGTCAAACCCAGGGGTTGGGGAAACCAGGCAAGACTGAATGTGGCACTTAGTGCCACGGGCTTGTTGACATGGTGGTGTTTGGTCATAGGTTAGACTTGATGACCTCAGAGGTCTTTTCCAACCTAATTGATTCTGTGATTCTGTGAATAGTTACTGTCAGAATGGAAACAGCAAGAGATAGATGGAAAAACTCACCGTGGGCTACACACTTGACTGCTGCCAGATCGCAGGGAAGTTTTTCCAAAGAGTCACTCAGTTTCCAAGAACCTTCACGGTGGGATAGTCCCATGAAAACTGCTGGTGGAAAGCCTCCTCGGGGAGCATGTTTTTCAGGTGAAAGCATGAGTCACTGCAGGCAGGAGAAGGGGGCTGATCATGGTCAGGTTGCCTTTTGTTGCATCTGATGTTGCGCTACTCACGGGTGAGATCAGTCCCTGCATCGCGGCCGTGGAGGGCACTGTGCACCCCCTCCTGCCCCTCCGCTGACCCCAGCTCTTCTGCCTCTGTGTATTTGGGGGGCTGGACCTTTTTGCTTTCTTTCTTTTTCTTTTTTTTTTTTTAACTTCCTCTGGAAAATGGAGTCATCAAAACTAAGCATGACTCTTTTTTTTTTTGGTTTTTCTTTTAATCGCCGCTGACGTCAAGCTCCGCGGGCGGACCCTGCGCTGTGCTGAGCGCTGGCAGTTCCTGCTCACCACCAAGGGCTCCAGCTCCCAGCACCTGGGGCTCCATGAGCAGCCAGAGCTCTCCTTTCAACCAAACCCAGGAGCTGGCCAGAAAGCTGCAGACCACAGGGCTTGGCTTTGGTAGCCGAGAGTCCCTCCGACTGCCTGGAAATCCCGCTCTGTCCTCACTGGCTTCCCAACACACAGCCACGGGACTCACGAGTTTCTCTTCATTTTCCTTATGAGAAAAGTTTGCAAAGAAATGCTCCCAAAGCCCCCAGCTCCTGCCAGCCCCACAGGGCCCCTCTCTGTGGCCACAGCACCTTCCCCACAGCTGCTCTCATGCTCTGGGCACTTCCACAGACACTTGCTCTGCTGAGACTGAAAAGGCAACTGGTACGAAAAAATCAAGACAAACCTCACAGGGGCTTTCTGAGATGTTTGCTTGCCCTACTGGGGACAAACTCCCACATTGGTCTGGATACCAGAGCGAGGAGGGGGCCTGGAGCAGATTTCCCATCTCTTCACAGCATTTTCCACAGTTGCACAAACCCAGCCACCCAGTCCTGGGGCTCCTGGCTGTCCTCCTTAGCTGGTGCCCTGCACTCACAGTCCCAGGTCTCCTGGGCATGCAGGTGGCTGGTCCCGAGGGCTGGAGGGTCCCTGAGCCATGGGAAGGTGGCTGTTTTCTCTGGGATGAGTGCTGAGGGAGCCTGGGATTCCTATTCCTCCATCCCAAGCAAGGGGAGGCTGTGCCAGTGCCAGCCCCAGGCACCTCCTGTGCTGCCCATGGCCAGGGAAGGGCAGCAAGAGAGCTGTGGCTGTGCAGCAGATGGAGGAGCTGCCCAGGGAGAGCGTGGAGTCTCCCCCTCTGGAGACATTCAAAATCCTCCTGGATGCACTCCTGTGTTGTACTTCCAGGTGCCAGTTTGGACCAGGTGGTCTCCAGAGGTCCCTTCCAACCCCAGCTGTCCTGTGATGTTGTGAAGCTTTTTTTAAAAACAGAAACTTTGCCATTTCCATTTCAGTAGAAATGCAGCACAGTCAGGGGCTGTTTTTTACAGAAGTGAAAACACAGGAGTTCCCCCAGCCGGTTTTGGTTGCTTTTTTGGTTGGCGCTGGACGGGGTAGGGGGTGAGGGGCAGCAAGAGGAAGCAGTGCAGGAGCACCAGGGCTCCAGCCCCAGCCCCCTTTGTCCCTCCCCACGTGTTCCATCCCAGCCCAAGGACAGTGGGGAAGGAAATGTAAACCAAAGCCTGCCCAGGGGGAACAAAAACCAGAGCCTGGGGAAAGCCCCTGTGGCCCCACAGCCACAGGATTTCTGCTGGAAAAACCTTGGGACTGTCCCAGGGAAAGCTGTGATGCCCAGTGGCTACGAGGCAGCAGGGAGGCTTTGGGGCACAGCACTCTCACCCCCCTGGGCTCCTCACAGAGGCACCATGGGCTGTGCTGGGGGGACACGCATTGCTGGGGACCCACACCCACCACAGGGTGATGTCCTACCTGCTCAGCAGCCCGGCCCCCTCCTCACAGCCCCCGGGTGTGGAAGGGTTTGTAGCCACTGCCTGCGGTGTCCAGAGAGCCACTGATGGTGAACGGGGGCAGCAGCTCCACTGCCAGTGACCCCACCCCACTGTGGGGAAAGCAGAGATGTCAGCAAGCTGCCCGTCCCCCTCCAGCCCTGCCAGCCACAGGGTGGGGACTGTCCCCTTGGAGACCCCCAGAACAGCCATCCTGGGGAGGCAGCGCCTGCCAACTGCAGGACGTGGTGGATTAGGGACTGGTGAGGGTTAGGGTTAGCACCGTGCAGAGTGAGCAGCCAGCCCGCCCCAGGTCCCCCCACGGCACCACTCACCGCGTGTGGTAGAGGTTGAAGACAAAGTCAGGCCCTGCAGAGGCAGGAGGAAGAGGAGGAGAGGTGTCAGAGGCACGTGGTGCCACAAACCCACCTTTGCTTTGCTGTGAGCCTGTGTGGCAGCACGGGGACAGGCAGGACAGGCAGTGGGACAGCACCAGGACAGCAGTGTGCATCCCCCTCCTCACCTCTGCATGTCCCCAGCTCGCCCCAGAGCTCCCTGTAGGTTTCCCCAACTGCCCAGGGGTCAGCAAAGGTCAGGGGTGCTCCCCAGACCCTGCAGGCCTGTCCTTTGAGCCCTCCCTGCCCTGTCACCGCCTGTCCCCCCACACTCACGGTGCCAGCGCTGGCCCCTCTGGTACCAGCGGATGAAGGTGTAGCTGAAAACCACCAGGATCAGCAAGGCCAGCCCGATGCCCAGCACAGCCCCCATCACGCTGACAGGCTCTTGCCCTGCAAAGCAGAGGGAGAAGGGGCTCTGCAGACAAACACCTCTGAGAGGCTGGGGGTTCTGATCATCCCCTGGCGGGGACAGGACAGCTGGGATGTGACCTTCCACCCCGTGCTGTCCCTACAGCGGGGAAGGGGTACACACCACGAGGCTCTTGAGGGCTGTAGCACAGAGATTTCTGCCACCCCCAAAGCCCTGTGATGGAGACTTGGTGACACAGCCACCACCTCTGCTGTCCCCAGGCGAGCTGGCAGGCGGGATGGTGGCTGGGGAGGGAGCTGGCCACCCTGACAACGCTGTATCCCCACTTCTGGTCCCACTCACACCCTCGTGGGGTGAAGCACCTCGTCGAGCTGCCCCGGGAGCCATCCATCCCTGCAGCCAGCCCTGCACAGCCGCGCAGACCCATTTCTGGGCTGGCAGTTCCCTCTAGAGGATGCACTTGTCAGGGCGAGCAGCTCCTGCTGCCAGCGCCGGGCTGGGACGGGAAGGGGCTGTGAAGGGACATGGAAGGGGCTGTGCTGGACCACTGCGGGACTCTACACCACTCCATCCCTCCCATCCATGTCACAGGGGCTGGCGAAGCCCAGCACCAGCCAACGCTCCCAGGATTGTCATCGAGGTGCCCAGCACAGCAGAGCCGCTGAGAATCCACTTCTCTGCTGACAGCTCTGGGGGGAGGCTGTGCCCAGGAGGGCACAGGGGCTTCGGGCACTGCCCCTCAGCACGGCCAGCCCCGCAGTGCAGGGCACGGGGACGGATCCTGCGCCGTGCAGAGTCTGGAGAGAGGAGGCAGCGGAAAGGGATGACCTAACAGCAGCTAAATTTAGGCAGATGCCAGTGGAGTGAGCACATTTCCCCTGTGGTCACAGTGTTTGCATAGTGAGCAATGTCCCGGGTCATCCTGCAACCCGCAGCTCTTGCTCCACCTGATGGGATCCGGGAGCTGCAGTCCTGTGAGCACCCGGGTTCCACGGCAGAGCAGCAGGAGCAACCTGCCCTTCTCTCCCTTCCACCAGGCCCTCCTGCCTGCAGAGGGATACGTGGGCAGCCAGTGCCTCCTGCTCCAGCTGGGACAGGGGCGAGCTGGAGCCCTGGGACCCCAGGCCCCGGCAGGGGTGAGGTGAGGAGCTGCTGCAGCCGTGACTCATGTGCAGGAGCTGCAGGGCAGGAGGGACGTGGTGCAACAGCCTCCCTGAATCAGGTGGCTGCCGAAACTGCCCTTTGCCCACGCCCACTGCCAGTGGGAGGATGATGGCTTGGTGCCCAGGCCCTGCCCCGTGCCGTGTGTGGGAGGCATCCCTGCCCTCACCGTCGGGAGCAGACATCCTCACACACACCCCCACATCCCAGAGGGATGGCTCCGAGCAGCGCTGCTGGAGGCAGAGCCACCAGAGCAGGTGAGCCCCAGCTCCCAGAACAGCAGAGGGAAGGAAGGTCACAAAACACTGCCCATGCCATGAACCATCCCACCTCTGCCCCGTGAGGGGAGAAAAAGGCCCCCACTCACCTCTCCGGGGGTCCATCTCCCGATGTCAGGTGCAGGAGCTGCTCGTGGCTGTCCCGGGCTGGAGCTGCTGCAGCAGAGCCCTGTGTGTGCTGGAGCCTGGCACGTCCTGCCCCTGCCCTCCTGTCCTGGTGACACAGCTGCCTCACCACCCCCACTGCAGCCAGCCCGGGCACCAGTCCTCGCCCACTGGTCCAACTGGTTCCTGGGGAGAAAGCAGAGGAGCTCCAGCAGACACGGCAGACGGCACATCCCGGTGCCCAGCCCAGCCTCCCCACCCCTGGGGTGGGCATGATGCCCGCCTGTGTGGGCAGCTCTGCCCTCCCACTGCTGGAAGAGGCTGAACCGGGAGCACTGGGAGCCTGAGGGACAAGGACACCCTGCACACAGGTAGCAAAGTGCCTGAGTGGCCATGTCCTTTGGCAAACACCTCCTGGCAAAGACCAGCAGCCAGGAGGGTGGCAGGAGCTTGGGCATTTGGGGATACTCACAAAGGTTATGGCCCCGTGCAGGACCCCAGGGGGGCAGGATGTCCCCCAGCAGCTGCCCCCAGTCAGACATCTCCCGAGGTGATGCACTTACAGCTGTATGAGATCATCTTCTCGAAGTCCCGAACCACAGGGTCAGGTGGGAAGTCAACTCCTGCTCGTGGAAAGAGGGAGAACACCTCCTGTGGCTGCAGGGAGAAGTGACAAACAGGGATAACCATTAACAGCTGGAAACTGGGCAGCCAGGGGCAGAATTCCTTCCCGGTTTGTGCCACCTTGCCAGGCACAGCCTCTACCATACCCAATGCCGGTGGCACAGGGTGGCCAGGGCAGGGCCAAGCCCCAGAGCCCTCCCCAGGGTGAGCATCTCAGTGCCAAGAGCAGGGATGATGCCTGGGGCCTGCAGGGATGCAGAGCCAGCAGGATCAGAGGGGATAATGAGCATTGCAGACCCCCAGGTCCTGGCAGTACCCAGCTCACAAGGAGAGGATGGGACCACTCCTTGTCGGACAGGAGAGGACAGGGATGAGGTGTGTACATGAGTGGCTCAGGGACACTGATGGCCACAACAGAGTCCTGGGCCAGCCCTGCCTGACCCCTGCCTGACCCCAGCAGAGCCAGGATGCCCGGAAACCTGTGTTGTGGCAGGGCTCTGGGTGCAGGAGGCCAGGGAAGGGCTGGAAATGCAGCCGCACTCCAGGAAGCAAAGCCCCGAAGGTGCCCGGAGCTGTGACATAACATCTGCAAACCTCAGCTGCTTCCTCAAAGCCTTGGTAACCTCAAAGGAGGAAGGGCCAGCTCCTGCCATGCCACCTCCCTCCCCATGGATGCTCCAGGGCTGCTCTCCCTTCCAGGGCACTGGGATGCTCTGGGAAGGCTCTCAGGACCCAGCGTGGCACACCAGCTCTGCCCAGCTGCCCACTGCTGCAGCCCCTAAACCCGGGGGGGTTCAAGCTGAAATCTCTCACAGCAGCACAGGCACCCTCCAGCTGGACCTGCCAGTGCCACTGCCCACCCTCCATCCCACAGTCTCTGGGCATCACATGGACCACGGGGACAGGAGCTGTGGGCACAGCCAGCCCAGGCCCCCACACCTCCTGAGGGGGCTGGATCCTCAGCCTCAGGATAACCTTCCACGAGCACCCCCTTTCTTCACCTTTACCTTCCCCCCAGCAGTGCCAGCCGTGACCTGGGGCTGCACGGGGACACACAGACCGAGTGACCCCAGAGCCAGGTGACCTCGTGCATAAACTCTCCTCCTTTCCTCCTCCACCTACCAAACCCTCGGTGTGAAAACAACCCCGTGCAACGCGGAAGAGCCAGACAAAGAGCGGGATGGCCGCGGATCCCCTTATCGTCAGGAGGAGCAGGAAAAATCAGTCCGTTCACTTCTGATAAGCTATTTGGTGACAGCAGCCCTGCAGGTGAGTCACCCCCCAGTGGAAGATGCTCAGGAGATTACAGCAGGTGATGGTGTGCTGATAGACCGGTGTTGTATTACAATACAAACCATCATTCCTGTTTCACAACTCCCCTTGTGGGTTTTAAGGAGTGCTGGGGCGGTCCTGCCCCAGTGTGAGCGCGGGGCGGGCACAGGGAGCAGGCACAGGGGTGCGGGAGCATCGCCGGCCCCGGCTCCTGCACATCGGGGCACCTGCAGCCTGCCCACCCCTGCGCGGGAGGATATTCTGGGATTCTCTGGAATTGGCTGGGTTTCTGCGGGCAGAAGGACCACGCTGGAGCTGCATGAACATGGTGAGTCACTGACAGCTCTGCCCCCAGCCCCTGGCTCCCTGCACAGCCTGTGTCCTGCCACACTCCCAGCCTGGCAGTGCCAGGAGAGATTCACCGGTGAAGGGGCAGCCCAAACTCAAGGAGCTGCTGCTCCCCAGCCCCAGCAGCATCCAGGCAGGGCAGGGTTTTTACCTGCATCTCTCAGCACACCACTGTGGCTGGTGGATATGGGTCCTGGGTACCCCCCGAGCTCTCACTCCCACGTTTCTCTGGCTTGCCTCGGCCCTCTCCCAGCCCGGGAAGCAGACAAACAAGGCAAGTGTGTCTTGCAGCCTGCATGACAAGGGGAACAGGCCCTTCTGGAGTCTCACCCCTCCCGAGAAGGTTCTGGTTCTTGGGCACCACCTGGGTGAGAGCCAGGCCCCCCTGTCCTGCAGTGCAGCTCCCACTGTGGCACTGCAGGTCCCTCTGTTTGGGGACACTCTCGCTGCCTGAGGTGCCCTTTGCCAGCAAAGCCACAGCCACCAAACCCCAGCCTGGCATGCAGTCCCTCCCTAGGAGGGAAAGGCTTCCCTAAGAGGGCAGACAGGTACAAACCAGCTGGCTGAGCACCTTAAAACCCTCCACCAGCGACACACCAGGACATCATCCCCTCCAGGGTGGGCAGCTCACCCCCTGCGCGGCAGCAACAGCTACACACACCCACGGGTTAAATCCCCACAGCCAAGGAGTCAGCCTCGGAATCCAATCACCCTGGGAAGCTTGGCTTTGTGGAGGAACATCCCACCTGCTCCTGAGGGAGGGAAGAAGCTCGGCTCAGCACACCCTGCAGCCCCCCGGATGGTGTGGGTGAAGAGGTTCATCAGCACTCCACAGCTCCTGGGCTGGCATTTGCACAGCACAAAATGGCCACAGTGACATTAAGTGCTTTGAGAGAACACGGCAAGGGAGCTCAATTAGTTACGGTAGCCTTGGGTTCTCCAGGAAATCACGTGCCTGCACTCCACGCAGGAGTGGGCACAGCTCCTGCCTCGCTTTGGATTTAACCAGCGCAGCTCTTGCCCACAGTGTGGGCTTGAGAGGAGTCCTGAGAGGCAGCTCTGGGCAGCTCCAAGATGTGAAACCCTTTGAAACAGAGGAGGTTTGTGGACTGAAGAAAATGCAAACAAACAAACAAACAAAAAATCAATAATCTCTTATCCCACCTGCATCTGCCCCAGACCTGCACAGCTGCCTCAGAAAGGAGCCTGGATGACGTGATGGGGACAAGTATGGGCAGCCTGGGGACAGGCAGGGGCAGCACTGCCACTGCAATGCCCCTCAGCCAGTGAGGCTGGAGGATCCATCGTGGCCTGGGACCATTCCCACTGGGAACCGTTAGGATGCCATTATCCAGGTCCTGCCCAGCCCGGGCCCTCGGTGACACAGGAGGTCAGCATGAGGAAGGACCAGCCCCACATGCCCTGGGCTGGCTGCACTGCAGGGTGTACCTGCAGCATCCCAGAACCCCTGGGGCTCCTGCAGGCACCAGGTGCTGCAGAGGAGCAGCTCTGGAAGGGCAGCACAGATGGGAGGTGCAGGATGCATGTTCCCCTTCCAACCCTGCCCTCCCGCTCCCTGCCACCAGGAGCCAGGCCCTGCTCCCCGGGGAGCTGATCAGAGCCCACCCAGGGGTGGGGAATTTGGCACAACCTTCCCAGACCTGGCACGGGTGCCAGCTGAGCTCAGCTGTTCGGAGAAAAGCCACTGGCATTTCCTCAAAGGAGCCAGACGTTGGCATGCTGGGGCACAGCCACATGCCCACAGCACCAGGAAGGATCCTCACCTGCAAAGGTCACTTCTTGCTCCCAAAACCGGCAGCCCAAGCCACGGAGCAGGGACATGTTGGGAAGGAGACATGTCCTGGCTGAGCCAAGCGAGCAGCACATTAACCCAAACTGCCTCTGCGTGTTAGCCCAGCAATAATGGCTTGGCACTCGCCTGCAAAATCCTGCTGGCAGATGCTGTGTGCATGGCTAAGCATGCCCCAGTGCAGTGACCCAGGGAGGGGGGGCTCACCTCTCCTCTAACCTGCCCTGGGCTGGAGGACAGACCCTCACCCACGTGCCCAGCCCCACTGTAATGCTCTTTTAAGTCCCAGCCTCCAAGCCCTGAGATGGCACAGGAATCAAGGGCTTCCAAAACCCCAAACCCTCCTGGATCTGTGGGTTTATCACAGCGGGTTTAATCTTCCTTACCTCTGTCCATGCAAAAAACTTCTCTTACCTGTTGTGGCAGAGTCCAGAAGCAACAGCAAAGGACAAGAGCTCACTGGGGCTGGCTCACTGGAAGGGCCCAGCCTCAGCAGAGCAGGAACACCACTCCACACGCTGCTGCTCCATGGCACGGCACCAACACTGCTGCAAAACAGGGCAAGAGGCACACACCGTGCCCACCTGAAGCCCCCCCAGAGGGGCTCTGGGCTTTGCCCAGCACCAGCCCTTTCGCTGAGGACAGGGTGACTGCAGCTCACAGGACGTGCCCTCCTGCAGCCGGGCAGGTCTCCCACGAGAAGCTGCTCCAGGAGGGTAATTGTGAGGAGATCAAGCGGATCAATGCCTGATTCATCAGGGCTCCAGCCCCGGCTGCTGCCGGGCTGTGTTTACTGCGTGTCCTAGCAGCGGCACAGCCTGCACTCCCTCCCTGCCCGCCCTGGGAGCGCTGGCTCCCATGGGCCGGTTCCTCCAGCACTCCAGGAGCCTGTCGGGGAGCGCTCGGGCTGTGCCTCCTGCCGTCTGACCCTACTGAAGATATAACCCCCCTGTCGTGACATGCCTGCCTGCCACAGCCCTGCAGGCGCGTGTATTTTGACTCAGGGTTTCTTGGCACATCAGAAAGTGCCTCTTTTGTAACACCTGTGACTTTTTAAGCCTCTGGCGTGTTAATGACAGTAACTCTGTAATATTAACAGCCACTTACTGGAATTGCACAGGTGATGTCTGTGGGAACACCACAGCAGGTGACCTCGGGTGACACCAGTTGGTTGTCACACCAGGACGCATTCCCAGCAGCTCTGAAGCTGGATGGAGGCTGGGGCAGTTTCCCTGCTCGTCCCTCCTGCCTGCAGTCTGCCCTCAGTGACTGGTTCTCCCCTCTGCTTTGCAGGACTCGGCCTCGGAGCGGCTGAACGGCAGAGGTAACTCCTGTGGGGGCTGGGGGTGAGGGGTGCCAGGCTGAGCCCGGCCATGCAGGGCCACGCTCCTCTGCCTTGCAGGGCCCAGCACGAGACACAAATCCTCGAGGACGCTGGAGTCCTTCAAGCTGGTCGGCATCCTGGTCCTGGCCGTGGTGCTCACCCTCGCCTGCCTGGTCGCCATCGGCTTCCTGGGTATGGCTCCCACTGTCCCCTCCCTCTCCTCTCACGTGGCCACAGCTCAGCAAACACGGCTCTGGGCCCAGCTCCTTGGTGGGCACCCCCCGTGCCAGCCCCGAGCCCGCCCGGCAGCCGGAGCTCTGTGCTGAGCCCCCCTTTCCCTCTAGTCAAGGTTTACCTGGATCACCACTACCTGTTCTGCAAGCAGCCCCTGAAGCTGGTGCCGCTGCAGAGGGTGTGTGACGGGCAGGTGGACTGTCTGCAGGGCGAGGACGAGGCCAACTGTCCCCAGTGGGTCCCTGAGGGGCCACCAGCCGGGGGTGAGTGCAGGACACCCCGTGAGAACTCTGGAGTGCTCTCTTGCTAAAGCCCCCAGAAGCTGACTTTGTGTCTGCCTCCAGCCCGCGTTTCCAAAGACAGATCCATCCTGCAGGTGCTCAACAGGAACACTGGAGCCTGGTCCTGTGTCTGCCACGACCACTTCGACCTGGTGCTGGCCAAGGCAGCCTGTGAGCAGATGGGCTACAGGAGGTACAGGCTGCTTTCCCCACGCCTCACCCCACTGCTTTATCTGTGCCTCTCCCATGAAAGCTCTTTTGGAGTGGGGCTCTGATCACCTGTAGAGCACTCAGAGCTCTGCACTAATGGTTACAGTCCATCCTCACCTCACAGGAGCTGGCTCAGAGCCCTGGCAACCTCCCGTGGAAGCAGAGTGCTGTGCTCAGTGTGCCCTGCTCTGCTCCCAGCCCATGGGCATCCTGCCCTGCTCCTGTCCCTCACCTCATCCCCACCCTCCAGCAGCACTGCCCTCACCAGAGCAGCCAACATAACTCACCTGGGCAGGGGTGGGCACAGGGCCCCTTTATAGCCTGGGACAGCAGCTCTTGGCTGGAGCTGTGCGTGCTGCACAGGCTGGATCCTTGCAGATGCCACGAAGCTCCATCCCAAGGAACCCATTTTTCCCATGGGATCCAGGCTCCCGAGGTGTTCAGGCACCAGTGCCTGCCCCCTCCCAGTCCCTGTGTCCCACTGGTAACACGCCTGGCTGCCTTTGCTGACCCGTGCCCTCCGTGTCTTTCAGCACCCCCACTTTCCAGGGGGTGGAGGTGGGCGCAGGGCAGCCCCTGCCCCCCCGTGAGGTCGTGCTGAACGACGGGAGCCTCCAGGTGCTGGAGCCGGGCGGGTGAGTGAGCACCGTGTGGGGAGTGGCAGCTGAGCCCCGAGGGGGACCCTATGGTGCCCAGCAGAGGAACATGGGCCTGTCCTCCACCCAATCCAACCCTTTCCTCCCTCTTCCAGGAAATGCCTCTCTGGATTGGTTGTTTCACTCTTTTGTTCCAGTAAGTACCGTGGCTTGCTCCCAGCCCTCTCCCTCCCCACTTCCCGCAGTGTTTGCACGAGGAAAGTTGGATTTAATTGCTGCTAACCTTGTTTAGCCAAGTACAAACCTCCCAGAAATGAAGCACCTGAGGGAGACTTACCCAGCTTGCCTGGATGGGTTTACTTCTGCTGATGAATTACCCTGTCTAAACCAATCCTCCTGGTGGGCTGGAGCAGGCAGGGGATGGTTTCCAGCAAGCCTGGGGATGAGGGGCGATGGCAGTGTCATGGGGTGAGGCACCCCAGCCACACTTCCCTCCCTGGGAGCTGCCAGACCCTCGTTCCCGCTCGCCCTGTCCCTCCTAACGTGTCCCTTTGCCCCCCACGCCTGCAGACTGCGGGCAGAACATCCGGACACCCCGAGTGCTGGGCGGGAGCCCGGCTGCCATCGAGGCGTGGCCGTGGCAGGTCAGTCTGCAGTACAGGAAGGAGCACATCTGCGGGGGCAGCATCATCGACCCCGGCTGGGTCCTGACGGCCGCGCACTGCTTCAAGTGAGTCGGCACCTCCCCAGGGCCGGGGCGGCTCCTCCAGGCTGAGTCCCGCCAGGTTTGAGCCACGTGTTGATTAAATGTCAATTAACACACGTGTAATTAACACATCTGCGCCCTCGGTCTGACGCCGAGCAGGGCAGCGTGCAGGCAGGGCTCTGCTGCCTGTCCCCGCGGAGGGATGAGCAGGGAGCAGTGACAGAGCTGTCTGTGCTCAGGAACAACCCCATCATCCAGAGCTGGCGCGTGAAGGCCGGCTCCGACCTCCTCTCCAGCACCGCCACCTCCGCCGTGGAGAAGGTCTTCCTGGCCGAGGTGACCCCCGTGTCCCCCAAGGACAACGACATCGCCCTGGTGAAGCTGCACTCTCCCCTGCACGTCTCAGGTGAGCCCTGCTTGGGGCAGGAGGCCCGAGGGTCCTCTGTTGGCACCGAGCAGCGGGGCTGGGAGCGGAGTGCCAGGCGGGTGGGTGGCCCCAGCCAGTCTGGGCCCCTTCCCTGCGAGCACCCCCAGCCATCTCCCTTCCAGACAGCACCAGGCCCATCTGCCTGCCCTATTTCGACGAGGAGCTGGTGCCGGGCACGCCCCTGTGGGTGATCGGCTGGGGCTACACGGAGGAGCACGGTGAGCTGGATTGCACGGGGTGATGGGGGCACTGCCGGTGGGCTCTCTCCTCCCCGGGGTCCCCCTGAGTGGCCCCGTGTCCCGCAGGGAAGCTGTCGGAGCGCCTGCAGCAGGCGGAGGTGGAGCTCATAGACAAGCAGAGCTGTAACCTGGCCGCCTACCACGGGGAGGTGACCGACAGGATGCTGTGTGCCGGCCTGCCCCAGGGCGGGGTGGACACCTGCCAGGTGAGGGGCCTGGGCTGGGAAGAGGGGGGGTGGGTCTGCACCCACCCATGACACAGCCCCTTGGAGGGGAAAGCTGTCATGGGAAATGGGTGCTGGGGACGGGGGGGACCTCCTGAGCCCCCCTGAGAGGGTCTGTCCCTGGCAGGGGGACAGCGGCGGGCCCCTCCTGTACTCGGGTGGGCACTGGCAGGTGGTGGGCATCGTCAGCTGGGGCCAGGGCTGCGGCACCCCCAGCACGCCCGGCGTCTACACCAGCGTCCGTGCCTACCTCGACTGGATCTACACCGTCCGCAGGGTCAGTCCTTCCGCCCCCTCCACTGCTCTGTGCACAGCTTTTGGGGGGAAAGGCAGCCCCCTTCAGCTGAGCTGAAGGACACAGCTGTTTTCCTCCTGGTTTTGGCTGCCCTTTCAGAGCTTTCAGTCTCTTCCCTCCCTCTCTCTCCTTGCAGTCGGAGCTCTGAGACCTGCCGGAACAGGTCTCTTCTCTCCCCAAACCTCCCTCCCCATCCTTTTACCCTTGGCTGTCTCGGCTCCAAGACATGGATCTCCAGCCATGGGAGGTGAGCTGAGCCTCCCAAACGCTCGCTGGCAGCTGTGGTTTAGGGCACCAGAGCCCAGCCAAGGAGGAAAAGGCTCAGAGCGACAGCCACCGATACCACAAAGGAATCTGACCGGCTCGAGCTCCCTTCCGGAGAAAGATTAATTTATTGCCCTGTGCTGACCCTGCTGTGGCAGGATGGCTCCTGGGGGGCGAAGCTGCTGTCAGCTCACTCCTGTTATACAGAGAGATGTGATGTTTGTGCTGTAGAGTATCCCCCCGTCCCCATTAAAGGAAGGGGTTTGTTTTTTCACGCAGACTCCGAACGCTTTGTCCCTCTCGCTCGCAGGGCTATTTTTGCCCAGTCCCCTCACAGACCTAAACAAGACACCCACATCAACCCAAACCACAGCGAGGTTCTCTAGTAAACATAAACTTTATTTCATTCAGGGCAAAGCTAACTAAACCTCTACAGTGCAAAAATGTGCTGTAAGTCATCACGCAGCCTGTCGCACACACATCCTGTGTTTACACGCAGGTGTCTCCCACACAGATTTATATATGCTCATACACAACCCCCCCAGTGTGCCCTGGAAAGCCTCTGCAGACCCCCCAAAGCCCCAGGGACAGCAGGGACCCCGCTGGTGCTGGCACAAGCCCCCGAGGCAGCCCGCTCCCCCGGGGCCCCTGCTCTGCGTGCAGCACCCGTGTGCCTATAGAGTTACATTCCAAAAAACTGCTTATGTGGACTTTTTCCATCAAGCCAGAGGAGTAATCCATGCATAGTGCAGCATTGCATATCCGGCAGGAAGTGGAACTGTGTCCACACACACCGGCTAAAAAAAGGCCAACAGGTTAGGACAGCTAAAAATAGTTCTTTAAAAAAACTCCCTCCCTCCCCTCGCTGTCCTCTCCCACGGGAGGACTCCTCCAAGGACGGGCCGGGGGTTCTCTCGGGGTGACTGGGAGGTCTCAGGCTTCCTCCCGGGCTCGCACACGTGGCAGGTCACAGCACCAGGCACAGCACCAGGCACCGGAGCACCTCCGCCCCAGGGTCACGGCACAGCCATGCAGGGCAGCTCACACCTCCTGGGAGGGAGCTCAGCCTTCCTGCCCCCGCTTCACTCATGGGGAAACCGAAGCACAGGGAAGTGACTTGCCTGAGGGTCCAACACACCCTCAGGGAGTGGACCAGGATCCCGACTCCCACGTCTGACCAGCAGCCAAGGGAACCTGCCTGGAGCCAGGTGCCGGTACCTGTCCCCTGTCCCAGCACACAGCCCTGTTCCAGTGGGTGCCACTGAGCCCAGCCTGGGGTGGGCAGCCTGCTGTGCACCTGGCAAAGGCTCCGAGTTGCCTTCCACACCACTGTCTCCAGAGAAGTCAGCACCCAGCCTTTCCTTGCTCTCCTGGCCCACCACATCCTCACCTGCCTCCCTCTCTGGCACCTCTGTCAGGGCACAAGCCCCTGCAGCCAGGGAAGTCCTGGCTCAGCTGTGATTCCCAAACTAGAGTGCGGATGGGGAGCTGCCTGTCCTGCAGCTTCACTGTCAGACACCCACAAATAGGAGAAATAGGGAAAAAGTCACAATGTAAAGGACATTGTCAACCTCAGCTGTAGAATCAGCTCGTTCACTTCGTGTCTCACATGCTTGGGAAAGGGGCTGGGTTGCCTGAGTCCACTCACAAAGACCCTCTGGCTTTCTGTGGCACCCCTCATCCCAGGGTCTCAGCGTTAGCCACGGAAGCCTCACAACCACCCCGTGAGGTAGAGCAGTATTATTATCATCCCCATTTTACAGATGGGGAAACTGAGGCATGGAGAGGCAGAGCAACTTGCCCAAGGTCGCCCGGCCGTGCCCCCTCCCTGCGTGGCAGATGGATGCCACAGATTTCCTTGGGTGAAAGGGCAACGCAATCGGCTGCTTTCCCACTGGAGTCTGATATAAAAATATCCACATAACGAGTTCAGCCTTGGCATCAGCATCAAAAGCATCGCTGCTCTGAGTGCCGAGCTCCAGAAAGAGGGGAGGGGGGCAGCACAAACCCGGGGAGTGCTCCCAGCGCGGCTGCCCGGGGAGAAGCCCCTGCTGCCCCTGGGGATGGCCCTGCACAGGGGCAAAGCCAGCGTGAAATGTGACACTTCACCCCATCATGGGCCAGTAGTGACCCCAGGACACAGCCAGACGCCACCACTGCTCCCCCCAGCCCTGCTGTGGGAGGAACTGAGGCACAACAAGGGGCCTCTCACCGATTTGGTTCTCAAATGCTTAACGGGGGAGCTGAAGCCAAGCCCCACCACAACAGCCCTGTTTCCTCCCATCCTGCACCGCACCCACAGGAGATGCAGCAGTGGCAGAAGACTCCATCTCCACAGCTGGCTCTGCGCATCCTTGCTCTGCTCCAGAAGCCTTCTGGATGAAGCAGGCAGCTCCCAGTCACCCCAGCCTCCAGGACACACCCCGCGCTCCTCGCTGCCTCCACCCCGCAGGCACAGCGGGACCCCCGCTCGCCCACCTCCCGGCACCCCCAGGCACAGCACCTGCCCAGCTGCAGACCAGGGCACCCCCAGCCCCCGGGCCCTTCCCTGCCTGCCCGGCACCCTCTTGCCTTCGCTCAGAGCGGAGCAGGCGGCTTCCTCTGCCCCAGCAGCCTCCCAGTCCGAGCGCGCGAGAAGCTCCCAGTCCCCGTGGCAGCCGAAGCCTTCTCCGAGAAGCAGTGCAGGTTGCAGGCACGTGTGTAATAGAAACATGTCTCAAGCGTTGGCAGTTCGGAAAGAAAACAAAAGGGAAAGGCTCGTCCCCTGCCCAGGGTCCCCCTGCGGGGTGGGCTCGGGGCGCCGCCGCTTCATGCCTTTGGTGGTGCTTTTTGTTCCGCCTTGGAGCCGGCCAGGCCGTTCTCGGTGTTGTCGTTCCCTGACGAGCTCACCAGACATTCCTTCCTGCGGGAAGAGCACACGGCCAGCTGGCAGCCCCTCCTGACCCCTCTCACCACAGCCCCGGCTCGTGGCAGCACCCCCACACTCACTTCCCGTCCTGCGTCTTCTTGATGATGAACAGCACGACCCTCTTGATGAGCATGAAGAGGATGAGGAGGCCGATGAGCCCCCCCACAACGCCCACGATGATGAGCGTCACAGTGTTGTCTGTCTCCACCACTGCGGGAGAGAAGGTGCTGAGGGGGCTCGGGAGGGGAGCGGGGAGCTCCCGGCTGCACATCCCACCCCAGAAAGGCAGCACAGAGGGGCACGAGCCCTGCCCGTCAGGGATGCCAACCACCTCCAGGACACCCCTCAACGGTGAGCCAAGGGGGAGGTCAGCACGGGTTGGCATCTCCACCACCCCAGCGCCGCTCAGGGCAGCCCTGGCCAGCACTCACTCTTGTGCACCACGGTGAGGAAGATGGTGGCATTGTGCTGGGCGTTCCTCTCCATGGGGTTCTTGACGTGGCAGGTGTACTTCCCGGCGTCGCTGAACTCCACGCCGTTCAGGACGATGGAGATGTTGTTGTCCTTGCTGGTGGTCGAGCCCACAAAGTCGACCCGCGGGTTGCGAGACACCAGGGTGGGCTCCGTGGCCTTGTTCTTTATCTTGCCCTGGTAGATCTGCAGGGGTGCAGGGTGTGGGGTCAGCTGGGCTCCCAGCATTCCCATGTTTGAGGGTTCCTGAGGGTGCCCTGCCCCAGCTCTGCACACGCAGACAGGCACAGTCCCAGCACACCCCACTAAAGCAGGAGGGGGACCTGCTGCACATCTTACCAGGAAGCAGCAGATTAATCTGACCTGCTCTGCAGTGATGGTACAGACCATCTGAAACATGGGGGAAACCCTGGCAGAGATGGCCCCTTTGCTGGACAGAGCTGCTCCAAATCTGCCCTCCTGCTAGGGAGTTGAGGAGCTGAATATTCCCAGCAGGAAGCAAATCTATACAGAAGCTTTAGTATTAGAGAGCAAGTGAAGGAGGAGAAAATTAACTACATTTTGCCCAAACTGCAAACCTGCACCTGAACAGCTAATTTATGAAAATAAATGAGCCTGTGGGCAGCAGCAAATCTAGAACAGCTTTGTGCCAAAAGCATAGATGTGCTGGGGGATTTGAGTCACCCTGTTTGCACAGCCTTGTCCCCCCTAGAGCTGGCGACACTCGGAGAGATGGGCATCCTGCACGAGGAGAAAGGGAGCTGTGAGAACTGCAGTGCTGGTCTGCACCAGGGAAGCACAAAAGGAACTGCCAGAAAAGCAGAGGCAAAGCCAGGACAGCCACCCACCAGCTCTGTCGAGTTGAAATACCACGTGAAGACCAGGTCCTGGAAGCCTATGCAGGTGCTGAAGGTGCAGGGCAGCAGGACATTGGAGTTATTCAGGGCCATCACAGTGTTGGTCTTCCCCACCGACACCTCCAAGGCGAAGGCGATGGCCAAGACGTGCAAACCTGGCAGGGAGAGGGGAGGAGAGAGTGAGGGCACGGGCTTGTCCCCTTGGGCAGGGCAGGCTGCCGTGGCAGGAGCAAAGGTGCCTGTCCCCAGCACTCGTGTGGCTCGGTAAGAGAAGGGATCTGCTCCCGGAGGACCTGGGGCTGGCTGGCACCCACAGGGGCAGCGCGGGCTCGAAGGGAACCATAAAATCACAGCGAGTGAAGTGCACAAATGAAAGCCCTGATTTGCATGTTATCCACAGGCTTTCAGCTAAACCTTAAAGGGGGAGAAAAAAAGCCAAAGCAAAGCAGAGCTCTGTTCTTCAGGCAGGAGCTGGAGCAGTAATTAGCGCCGCTGTCCTGGCCGCCTGCCACCCGCCGTCCCTCCCGCAGCCAGTGCAGCTCGGCACAGCTCTGGGTGACCCTCCGGAGCAGCACCCTCACTCCTGGGAGCCGGGAGCCTCGGCTCCCTCTGGAGCTGGCAGATGACCTTCAAACTGCAGAATGCAGCTCTCCTGCTCCTCGCCTCCCCGTGAGCAGGGAGAGAGGCACCAAGGAGCAGGTACGAGCCCGGCTGCAGCTCAGAGCTCGCAGGGTGGCACACAGGGACTGGCACCGCACCCCTGTGCACCGGGCAGTGTCCACACAGATCCCCTCAGGGGGCACAGGGATGCTTTGCTCCTGGCCAGAGGAGCAGCCCCGCTCCCCGTGCCCAGCACACCACGGCCCCGTCCCGTTTGTATGATGTGGCACGGCTAAGATGTGACACAGCCCAGCAAAGCACCGTCCTCCCCTTGCCCAGACCTCAGCCACCCCCGCAGAGCTTTCCCTGGGCGCCCTGACACCAAAGCCAGGGGGGACACAGCCCTTCCCACAGCTACAAGCCCATCCCTCCAACACCTTAACTCGGACACACCGCCCTCAGTCTCAGATTCACATCTCTCTGCAGCCGCCCCGGCTGCTGATTTATTCTCCCACACATGCCGGTGCTAACAACTCCCCAGGCACGTCGCAGCCGGAGCCAAGCCCGAGAGCCCTGCATCCTGGGCTCCGGGCCCTGCTGCAGTGCTGCATTGCAAGCACTGCAGGGAAGGAGTTATTTAACTTTACACACAAGCACTCCTCGTTGTGCTCCAGAGGCCGTGGCAAACGTCAGGGAGTGGCTCCCCACCAGATGGAATCTCCTGCAGCTGCCAGGCTCAAAGGCCAGCCCCGGGGATGCTACAGAGGGGACTTGACAGGCAGGAGTGCCCCAGGAGAATCGTGCTGCTACCTGGAGTAGGAGTTGGCAGAGGGATGCCTGGCTCTGCAGGTATGTCTGAGCTGGCAGGGTGCTGCAAGCGGACACTTACTTACAGGAAAGATGATTCCTTGCAGCTTGTAACACTTTTAATCCTGTCTGCCACTGTTAGAACGTCACGAACGTAATCTGAATTGAATGTGTGGGGTAAATCGAGGCTGACCTTGTTCCTGTCACGCTGTGGTCTCAGGAAGACAAAATTGATACGTTACCACTAAATAAAGCACGGAGGAAAACACGCTGGGAGATCACTGACTGAACCTGCCACACACCAGCTGTCAGCATTACTTTTCCATATGCCCAAAGCTGCTGCACTTTGCACCACCAGAGCCCCAGCCTTCAGAGCACAGGGCCACACCTCCCACCCCCGGGGGCTCCAGGTTCCTCCATGCCTGCAGGCACCAGCATTCCCTCAGAGAGAGCCAAAGGGAAGAGGGAGCAGCCACCCCTGCCTTCAGCCAGAGCCTTGGCCGCCTGCTCTTTGCTCTTGTAGGGGCTGGGCCCCTGGTGAGGGGTCCCAGAGCCACTATCTGAGGGAAAGCTGCTCTGCGAAAACTTTCACTGCCCAGAACAGCCAGCGTGACCTCCTGGCACCGGCACAAGCCATGCCTGGCGGGCTGGCCAGGCTCCTCTCTGGAAGGGTTCAAGGAAGGAGCTCCCAGGCCAGCTGGAGCCCAGGACACGTGGCCCTCTCCCTTCCTGTGGGGCTGGGACCAATGGAAGGGGCCATGCCGGGGCTCCCTGGCACAGCCAGGAGCTCGCTACCACTCCCTGAGGAGCACGGCATTCCTGAAATGCACACACACACACACACCTGCCCAGCACTCCCCTTCCCACCTCCCTCGCCAGCTCCCAGCCCCCCTGAGCGACCTGTGGGATGAGGTTCACACCTCCACACCCGGAATCCCAGATCCCTAAGTGGTCTCCAGCATCTCCAAGTTTCTCCTACCACGCAGTGCCAGCCCCGTGCCCAAAGCAGCTGGCACTGCCCCTGTCTGAGGAGGCACCAGGCGCTGGCACCCAAATCCTGCAGGGAGTCAGGTACTTACACGCCTTTTTTTGCGTCTCCAGCTCCCTTAAACTCAAGAACTATGCCCTCTACCACGCCTCCCAAGGGAGCCTCCCAGTAGCAAGCGCTGCACATCCAGCCCTTGTTCCCAGGCTGGCACGAGGACGACCCGCGGGAGCAGGAGTGCAGCGGGTGCGTGAGGCTGATGCGGGAGGCTGGAACCAGCCCCAGGTGTGCAGTGGGGAGGGGAGGCTGCGAGCACCTCCCTGCGCCCTGTGGCGGGGGAACCTCGGGCATCCCCGGGCACAGGGCTGGGCATCATGCTCCGAAGCAGCGGCCCCTGCAGCGCGGGGTCCGATCCCGCGCCGGGGGGCCAAGCGCATGCGAATGGTGGTTGTACGAAATGAACTGTTGAGACAATGACCTGTCGGCGGGCGTGCTGGCGCTGAAGCAGTGCATGGCCTCCCCGGGCCATCCCCCGGTCACGGGCAGCGCAGGAGCGGGGCAAAGCGGGGTTGCAGCCGCAGTGCTCGCAGGAGAAGCGCCGGCCACGGGAGCGCTGGTGCGGGCAGGGCAGGGGCCGGAGCCGGGACTTCGGAGCTCGGGCTCGGCTGCGAAGTCACCTTGGCCAAGTGACTTATCCCCCGGACCGTCCGTCTGCGGAGCGGAGAGCGGCGTTACTGCCCGCGGGCGCGGCGGGCGGGATGCGGGGGGCGCGGAGCGGGGTCCCCCCGCCTCGGGTCCCCGGGACAAGGTCCCCGCCGGAGAGCCGGGGGAGGGGGCAGGACGCGGGCGGTACCCGGGGCGCGGAGCGGGTCCCCGCAGCCCCCCGCGCCCCTTACCCAGGAGCGCGGCCAGCAGGCGCGGCGCGGCGCGGCGGCGAGCGGCGGGCGAGCCCGGGGCCATGGCTGCGGCGCGGTGCGGGGACGTGCGGGGCTGTGCGGAGCGGAGCGGTCCCTGCTGCCCGCAGCGCCCGGCTCTGGCCGCCCCCGCGGAGGGCGAGCGGCGCCGGGCGGGGCCGCGCCGGGCGGGGCTGCGCTGAGCCTTCCTCCGCCCTTCTCCGCATCCCCCTGCGCATCCCCGCGCTCCCCCGCCCCGCGCGTCCTCCCAGCCCGGGGAAGCGGGGAGCGATCCCGGACCGGGGCAGTGACGGTCTCCCGGTGATGAAGCCGCACCCCGAATCCTGGGGTCATTTTTGGGCCCCTCGCTAGAAGGACACTGAGGTGCTGGAACGTGTCCAGAGCAGGGGCTGCAGCTCAAGTGTGATGAGGAGCGGCTGAGGGAGCTGGTGGGGGGGGGCTCAGCCTGGAGAAAAGGAGGCTCAGAGGGAACCTTCTCGCTCCCTGCAACTCCCTGACAGGAGGGTGGAGACAGGTGGGAGTCGGGTTCTCTCTCCCAGGTAACAAGACAAGAGGAAATGGGTTCAAGATGCTCCAGGGGAGGTTTAGGTTGGATATTAGGGAAAATCTCTTGACAGAAAGGGTTGTCCAGTGCTGGCATAGGCTGCCCAGGGCAGTGTTGGAGTCACCAACCCTGTAAGAGTTCAAAAAACATGTGGATGTCGCACCTGGGGACATGGTTTAGTGGCAGCCTTGGCAGTGCTGGCTAAAGAGTTGGATATGATGACCTTAGAGGGCTTTTCCAGCCTTAACAATTCTCTGAAGGCCTGGGAATGCGAGGCTGGTGCTGCCCTGGGCGACCTTTGGAAGGGGCCAAAGCGCCACTTAGGCTGGTGGCTTCCCTGCTGCTGCCAGCAGGACAACAAAACAGGACAAGGCTGGGGCTCAGCTCTCATTTGGGACATCTCAGCAGAGCGACAGCACAGATGTCTCTGCCCTCCATCCCCAAGGCACCTCCCAGCCCCAAGGCAGGCAGCAGAAACAGGTGGGGATGCAGAGCCAGACACTGATGGACAGAGGGGACCCACCCTGCGCCAAAGGGAACGCTTTGAGAACTTATTTTTCTCACCATGAGCTTGTTTCAGAGTAATTGGCTGCACTTAAGTTCATGTGTCAGCAACCTTTTCCTCGCAGCCGCATCCATTAGACCTGCCCTGAGCCGCCCACATCCTAAAAGGTGGCGGTGGGGGACCTCCATTAGGAGCTCAGGCAGAGCTTTACCTCTGGTCCATTAGACACCGACCCCTGTGCAGAGCAGCCGTTTGCGGGAGGTGACGCATCCCAAAACAGGCACAGGGGGAAGCAGGGGAGGTGCTGCCACACTCCCGGAGCAGGAACAGCACTGACCGTTTCTCCGGGCTGCAGTCCTTGGTGACACACGGCACACGTCCCGGCAGAGCTCGTCCCAGGGACCCGCTGGGGCTGTACCTCCCTTGCTGGTAGTCACTGCAGCATGGCTCCTCAAACTGCATTGCTTCTTTTTGGGTGTGAGAGCAGCTCAGCTGCAGGGATGCTGCCTGCGTGTCCGGGGTGCCACGACCTGTCACCTTCAGGGCACGCTGAGTCTCCTCATCCCCACTCCAGCCCCTTCGCAGCTCGCTCTCCCGCCCACCTGGCCGGCAGCACAAAGCAGGAGGGGAGAGGGAAAGCAGGAGGCTTTGCAGGGCACGGGGACGTCCCAGGGGAGCCTGAGAGGATGCCAGCAGTGCCTGTGGGTTGAGGCATTAAGGGCTGCAGAGCTGGCAAGAGAGACAGGAAAAGTACAGAGGGAGCGGGGCTGGGCAGCGCTGGCAGCCGGCGCTGCGGGAGCGGCGAGCGCGGTACTGCTGATGCAGCAGAAGGTGCCTTGGCGGGCGGCTGGGATGGGTACAGGGAGGGGATGGATGCAGTGAGGGGATGGATGCAGTGAGGGGATGGATGCAGTGAGGTGAGCGGAGCTGCAGGCACCGGTGAGCAGGCAGGCACTGTGCCAAGGCAGGAGGAGGAGCACTGCCTTTGCTGGAGCATCACTAATTGTGAGAGGGGAGGCAGAGAGGTCCGAAGGGGTGAAGGGATGCCTGCCACCCCTGCAGATGATGCCTGTCGTGATGGCTGCTGGGGCCAGAGTCACAGGTGCAGGTGAGTCTGAGGCTGGAATCTCCAGTATCCAGAGAGCAGGACCTCGGAGACCTGCAGCACTGGGGGCCTGGAACAGCAGCACCCTTACCCTGGTGCAGGGAAAGGCCACTAGGTGTGAAGAACCCCCTCCTGGGATGCTCACCTGTCTGAGAAGTTTGCTTCCAAAATGATGGGTCAAGTTAGGATGCATCTGGCCGAGCTGTCATTTAGGAATGCCGCCAGCAGAGCCCTAAATCCTGTTGCAGGCAGGAAGGCTGGGAATAGCAGCACCGCCTGGCTGCAAGGGTTGGCCACTGAATACAAAAGAGCTCCTGTGGGCACTGGCACAAAGGGGGCACGCTGGGGAGGTGGGTACCCCGTTATTCCATGCTGACACGCTCCTGCAGCCACACTTCCCTGCTGAGCATCTGTGCAGAGGCAGCAGCCCGGTGCCCCACTGCCCGCTGCCCTGCACACCCGGGGCCAGCTTTCCCCACGGCCCGGGGCTCGCAGTGGGATGCTGGCTGTCACCAGAGCCTGATGGAGCTGTCACACTTGGCAGTTCCAGCCGCTCTCCCCGGCCGACTGATCTCGTGAGACATCTGCCAGTGCCGCGGGCCGGCAAAGGCTCCGCTCTCCCCCAGCCCGGCCCCGGAGAGCGGTGCCACGGCCAGGAAGGGCACTGGCAGCAGCTGGCCCTGGGATTCTGGCGCTGTGCTGGTGTCCAGCATGGGACCCGGCATTCCTGCGGCTCAGCAGAAACTCGTTCTGCTGAGCCCAGCACCGGGATACTGTGTCTGCTTTCAGGGAAGGCGAGCACCCTCTGCCCGGACACTGTCACCTCCCTGGGGGACAGGAAGGAGGGCTCAGGGGTGCTGCCAGCTGGCTCACAGCCTGTGGGAGGGGGTCACAGTGGCTGTCCACGTACCTTCACTCCCTCTCACCTTGCACTGGTAGAGCTGGGAGGGTTAAAGTGCCAGGCTGCTGCTCTCCGAGGAGGGTTCCTGCCTCCCTCCACGTGGGTGCTGGCCAGGTAGGGCTGAGCAGAGCAGCTGGGCTGCAGCCTCCCAGCTCAATGCAGCAGGCGCAGCGCTGGCCCTGGCTGCCCTGGAGCATCCTGCCAGGGGCTGCCCCAGGAGGACAGTCCCAGCCCCCTCCCAGAGCTCCCCGAGCCAGAGGATGCTGAGCTCCCGGACCGGGAGCAGGCAGAGCCCTCCTGCCGATGGAGGAGGAGGAGGTGACAACGCTGGAACAGAGCTTCCCATCAGCACCTTATATTTACTGCAAGGTCCTCTGGCTGTGACCTTTAAAAGACAAGGTGGCCTGGCAGCCCGGGAGCTGGCAGTGGGCAGGAGGCACCCGCAGGGATCAGACTCTGCAGGACTGTCCTGGCTGGAACAGACATGCCAGGCTGGGAGCTGAGAGGTCCCGGGCAAACAGACTGCGGGTGAGTACCTGCTGCCTTTGTCATTCCAGCTCTCCCCTGCCTGCAGCTCTCCCTCGGAACAATGCTTTCCCCTCTCCCTGCATCCTTCTCCCTGCCAGCGCTGTGCTGCCCGTTGCCTCCTCGCCCCTGCCAGCAGAGCCGGCTGCCTCCGGAGGTGCACAGGTTCCTCACCCCCTTCCACGGGCCCTTTAAGCAAGCAGGGAAAGAGCAGCAGTGTCCCCCGGCAGCCACTGCAGAGGCATCTGCAAGAATGGCTGAGGCAACACTCCTTCGTCCCAGGAGAAAGTTTCTTCTGACCCGACACAGCCTGAGGCTGCCTCCCCTGAACCCTCCCCACTCCGTCTCTTCAGGGCTGCCCTTCACACCCCTCAGCACCCTGGAACTCACTGCCCTAGGCTGTCCCCTTCCCAGGTCCCATTCTCCCAGCCCCAGGAGCAGGGCAGCATCCCAGGGACAGGGGCTCTGGGCTCCCCGAGGCTCCCCAGCAGTCCCCTATGACTCTGCACAGCGCCAGGCAGAGTTCCCCGTCACCTCCCGATCCTTCTCTTGCTCTTTAACACCTGTAATCCCACCTGGTCCAAGGAAATTTCAGTGGTCTGTGGAAGGGACTGTCCCTGGCTCTGGAGAAGCACAGGATGGGGTTGCAGTCACTGCCCTTGGTCCCCTGTGGCGATGAGAACTCACCCTTGTTGTGTCCCACGGGGGCTCCTCCTTGATCCCACTGTGCTCCCCTTCCTCAGGAGTTTCTTTTGCCAGCAGCATTCCGAGAGGTGTCCTGAAAGCACGGAGCTGTGGGTCCCCCATCCCCTTTGCCTGTGGCTGACCCCCCAGAGCTGGGTGGGGTGATAACCCCGTGCTGTCCCCCGGAGAGCTGCTCCTCACTGCACAGAGAAGTTTGTTCCCTGCCAGGTATCAATGGGCTGCACCCCCCAGCACCAGCCCAGCACTGCAGGACTGTGTCAGCAGGACAGTGGAGGTGATTTGGGTGCCCTTCCTAAGGGAGGGAGAGGTGCTGTGGGGAGGTGGGAGTTTTCCGCAGCGCCGACCCCTCGGCCGGGCACAGGGCGAGGCGTTGAGGGCGCAGTGCCCGGGCAGGGACACTGGGAGAGCCCATCCCCCTGGCTCTGCTGGCTGTCACCCTGCTGCTGGGGGCACTGGTGGGCTGGGGAGGGGGTAAGGCAGGGCAGGAAGGCAGCACTGCCTTGGGAAAGAGGTGGTGGCAGGTGTATTGGGGCGGCTGGCAGACCCTGCCTGTGGGTGGAATTGGGATGCACCAGAGTTCAGCGGCCCTGGTTGAAGGGCAGCAGGGAGAGGCAAATAGAGGGTGGCTGTCAGAGCTCCCCTCCTGTCTCCACAGTGGGCAAATTGATGGATGTGCCTATTAAATGTGCCCTAGTTGTGCAGGAGCATCCACACGCTGTTGTTGGATTGCTGAGTGGGAGAGCAGCCC